AATATATATATATATATATATATTTGCCATAGGGCATATGTGCCCACTGGAGAGAAACAGAGAAAAGGGGAAAGTGAGAAATCACTCCCTAGGAGGGTAACTATGCCACAGTCCCTTCTCAATTTTCCTCTCAGGATCTTGGGCATGTAAACACATGTGCCCAGTGCGATTTTCAAGCCACTGGGTCCAGGACTTGAACCATGCACTCAGCCATGTGAGATCCAATTGCTTTCACCACCACACCACTAGCTGGCCCAATATTTACTCATTTGTTTTCCCAAGCCAAACTGTATCCAGCTTTATTAAAGATACTTTTCATAAACAATCGTAGTATTTCAGGCAGGACATGGGCAGACAACCATTAACAGTACATAACATTCTTTGAATTCCCTTCTTCAATGGACTACCAAAATCAGAAAGCCACTACAAAATCCAACGAAGTCTTCATTTGATGCTCTAAACAGGGAAAGTTTAGAGTGAGGGTTGACATTTCACATTTAGCATGTTGTTTAACAACTTTTCACAAGCCAACTGTGACTTTAGGGAAACAAAAATGGCAGAATTATTAACGTGAAGATCCAACAATATAGAAAAGGAACTGCTTGCTCCTTTGAAGGATGCCATCTGAATGTCATTGGAAAGTCCAGATTGCCTGATATATTGGTAACCAAATTTTTTTTTTTGGAGAGATTTTCACTGTAGGGCGCGTGCGCTCGCCAGACAGACAGAGAGAGACATAGAGACAGAAAGCAAGAAATCACCCCCCAGGGGGGATGGTCACGCCGCAATCCCTTCTCCTCCATTCTCCTCTCGGGATCTTGGGCACGCACACACACGCGCCCGGCGTGAGTTTTAAGCCACTGGGTCCAGGACGTGAACCGCGGTCGACTACGTGGGAGTCCAGCGACATAGCCATTACGCTAACTGCTGGTTCCCGGTAACCAAATTTTGTGGTGAGGTCCTAACAGGTCTCTGGTTTAAGGGAGTTAAGTCTATGCTGAAGTCAGAGGGAGATGACATAAAAACAAGTGTTTACTATACCACGAGGCATCTGTGCCAAGGTGGCTATGTATGTCAACATCGGAGAATCACTCCTCTTGGGAACTAAGAGGAAGTCTCTCAAAACTAGAAGAAAAAAATGTCCAAATCAACTCAGCTTCAAAGACATTCTATTAGTAACAAAAGTTCCTTCCCCAAAAAACAGTAAAGTGTTCTGTGTGCTAATAACATAGCTTAAAAAAAAAGATAAAATAATGATTTTTTTTAATAAAACTTGATAAAAAATAATTTTTCAAACTGTACAGTTACCACAAATACACAGTTATCAAAAATGCACACACTTCCCTTGGCATCTCCAGCACCTTCAGCTTTCTGTGTCTGGTCTGTTTTAGCGTCTCCATTTTCTGCAGGACTATTCCCATCCTTGCCAGCATCAGCTTTTCCCTTTTTTCCTTTGGGTACCCTCCCACCCTTCTTTGGAGGGGCCTTGTTAGGCTTGGGCTCTGGCTTTGGAGGAGCAGGTTTCACAGACAATCTTGCAGATCTTTTCTGTGGTTCATCCTTCACTTTGGGTTTATCTCCTTTAGCATTCCCTTTAGGGGGTCACTCTTCTTCATACTGCTTGTACTAATTTAATCTTCACAACAAAGTAGGTATTATTGGGTTATCAGGAAAGTCATGGTACATTTTTGCATAGAAAAAATATAGAAAATATGTCATGACTTTCCCAACAATCTAATATTATTTTTATTTTACAGATGAAGCAGCTAAAGCACTGCAAGGCTAAGTAATTTACTG